CGTTTGAGTCGCTTTTGGTCTCGTGGCTCAGACCTCGCACCCGAAATCTGCGCTTATTTTTGTCTAATTGTCTTTCAAGCGGCAAATCGTGTAAATTAATGTTATATACGTATCGAGACATCACTCGCGTCAACGTATCAATTGTTTTGCTCCACTCTTTGATCAGTTCCTCCCAATTGGTCAACGATGAGACCAATTCATGAAACTTTTCCCATAAAGAGTTCGAGACAAACACATTTAGATTTGCTTTAATCCACGTCACGATTAATGTCTAAAAATGTAATTTTTATATACAATTACAAATTTATTAGTTATTGAATGCTTCGGCCAATCAATCATCGGTTCTCTGGTAACCAATTGGGCTAAACATTCGGTTACTTTTAGGCGATATTTATAAAGTTAATGTCATTTTAAACATTAAAATCTATAGATATAGTGATTATCGCCATTTGTTTACAGAAATAAAATAAATAAAACCCAGACCTGAAAGAAAGCCGGTGCTAACCGTCCGCCCAAAGTATCATCTTTTCTGATGGGAACACTCGGTGTCAATACAAGTGAAGTGATTTGAAGCAGAACTTCTAGTAATTGTTCCCTAAGTTATAATCGACACAACAGTTACTATAAATGTCACAATTGGCGACCGTATCAATGCATGGATAGTGTGTACATACCAGGCCTGCTTATCCATGTCAATCTTCATAACCATATATCTATAGATGTTGAGCACACGCTTACACATCTCCACCTGTTCCTCGAGCATCAATGGCTTATCGGAGGGCACTTCCAGAAGGAATACATTCGACGAAATGGAGACAAATACTCGCAATAGGTTTGAGAGCCCGGCCCTCACGTCCTCTCTGTTATTGTTAGAGTTGGAAGGAATGGGCGATTCAATGAACGCTGGCATCTGAGATGCTGTGCCGTATACCCAGTGTCTGTAAACTGTGATCACTTTCCTGATAGTAATGGCGTGAGAAAAAGGCAAAAGAAATGCTTCTTTGAACAGAGAATGGATTAAATTGACGTAAACTCGACTCGAATTGAAGACATTATTGATAATATGGTACTCAATGGCTGTGGGTTCGCGCCATTCATTGAAAAAGTGCGAGTCGTGGCCGTCGATGGAGTTGGTGTGCGAGTGGAACAGTTTGCTGTAGTGGTGGTGCTCTTCAATCATTTCGTTGCGATCTGACGGCTCATTGGTGTCTGTCTTCAAGTACTTCGAGAGCCACCGCAACACAACTGATTGCGAGTGCAGAAGAGTGTCTCGATATGGGAACCGATTGCTGTCGAAGTAGAGGTTATCATCAATACATTTGCGTAATACTGGCAGTTCTGTCCACGGATTATATAACGAGACTTCTGTTAAATTGGGGAAAATGTGAGACAAATATGTTTTGTAAAACTTTTGCCACAAAAACTCAAAACATTTCATTTGTTTGACGTCTTTGTGTTCTTTCCAATGAATTTTTGTGGATTGGGTTATCATGTGATCCATAAGACACTGGAGGTAATAACAGGTGATGTCGTGCGGCTGTGACTCCAACATAAACATCGGTACAAACGGCTCGACCGGACATGACTGCACCGATGATGGACTCAACGATAGGGTCATTAGGTTTGGCTGATCCGTGCTATTGAACGATGAAGTGATGGGATTGCCATTGGAGTCATGAACTGATAGATTGGATGATTCGTGACTCGAGTGGGACTGATGTGATGGCAGGAAGAGGTTTGGAAGACTGGGTACTAATCCGGGCACTAATGAGGCGTATATTGTCTCGAGTTCTGACGCATTGGACACTTCGTCGCCAACTATTTGATACCAAATCAAGAAGAGTCGCATCCCTTCCTGTCTTATCTGAACCGACATAACATACGGTATAATGAAAACATGCGATCAATAAATGGTATAAAAGTATACTTTAATGATATTGAGGTGATGTAAGACTTTGCGGAATATCAACAAAATGCTCTGAAACTGCCATTTCTTTTGCAACAATTCCGGCAAAAATGTCAATATTTTCTGCAATTAAACACACATTTCATTAGATTTGGTCACTATTTCCTTATCCATTCATTAATACTTCAAATATATAGAGAACTGAATCCAACTCCTCTTTGTTTGGCTTATGATCTAATGGTTAAGACATGGATTAGTGTCAAGAATTGTCGCAATCAATGGTTTACTTCTTTGTTTGTAAAGCGATTCCAAAGTGAGGAATGAGTCGAAGAATATGTGATATATATGTGGGAAGTGGTGTTCAAACAACTCCTTCGACTCCTTCACGTCCGTCACATCTGTTCCCATAAAGAAGACAATCAGTGGTTACAACTCATGAGTGACCAACTCTTATATGAATTAATTTGTTGACAATTGTGACAATTTGTGGACACTATGGGCCTCAAACTGATCCCATGGACACCCTAAGGAGCCCCTCGAGAACCAGTCACCCCTACCAATGGTGATCAGTTGGTGCCATATGATCTGTGTCCATGAACTGATCCATGTCATATGAATACACACCTAAAATGATCCTCAAATGTCTCAATCGGTTAAATGAATCCCTTTTGATGTCCAGGAATTTCTGGAGAGACTTCTTGTAATCGATTTGTTGCTTTTTGCCAAACATTGTGTTAATACTTCAATGGATTCGTTGTCTTAAATAAGTAGTGATTCACAGATGAAGTGATTGTCATAAGGGATGAGTTGATGTCAACAAACATTCTTGTAATCGATTTGTTGTTTTTTGCCAAACATTGTGTTAATACTTCAATGGATTCGTTGTCTTAAATAAGTAGTGATTCACAGATGAAGTGATTGTCATAAGGGATGAGTTGATGTCAACAAACGGTAAACGACTCCCACTTCACAGTCAATACAGTCATACACTCCATGTCTATGTGTTATGTAATGTGTAGTCGTGTTGACTGGTGTTCACTGACTGGCGGTCCACTCAAAACATATGTAAAAACTATTGCTATTGAGTAACAGTGCGCTCGCAGACCAGTGTGCAGTGACCCCTATTATGACTGCACAGGTAGGGTTCACCTCATATGCTAGCTATAAGGTATAACTACAGTATAACTGGGGTCCACAAGGGTGTCAGTGACCGGTTGTCAATGATAAATGTATTATACAACTTTATTGATCATATGACTAATTTGTAAGTTGCCTTGCTAATTGTTCATTCATATACTGGTAAGTTACTACAGTATTATAATTTAGAAATAAAATTACTATACCCATGGTGCAATAGATTTCCAGACTTAATAGTAGTGACAGTGTCACCTTGGTTATTTGATTGATAAGAATATTTAGTGGATAATCTGTTGAATTAAATGAACAAATCTGAACCGGATCCAATTTTGATTACTAATGCAGCAAATTGTTTAGACAAACCATTGATTAATATTATGTAAATCTGTTTTTGGTATTAATATAGTGAAAATATACAATTTAAAGTTTTTGAATTACGGTTAAAAGAATCCCTGCATTCAATGCGTCCCAATGTTATACTCGCGTCCAATCGTAAGAGCCCTCACTTCCACTCTTCAGACAACATTTCATACAATAAAGTCATTTCAACTCACATTTGCTTTGATTTGGATCTGTAGTCCAAATATATTTTTGTTTTGTTTGGATTTGTTATATTCAAGAGATTTAACATAATAAATGCAAATATGAGTATTCAAATAGTAATGTATACTACTTTATATGTTTAAAAATAAATATCAAATTTTATAAAATTATGATTAATAATACCGTAAGTCTATGGTTTCACACAAAGTGATTTCTCTATTACATTTCAAATTCATATACAACTTATACTTTATTCAAATAATTATTAATAAATTACTAATTAATATACATAAAAAATTAAACATAAAATATAAAATGCATATAATTACAAAATAAAGTAGTATTTACAAATATAATATCTCCAAGAGACTGAAATCTTATATACTTTAAAATTTAATTTAGTGTCAAATTAGAGAAGTATGTTGTATCTAGCAAGTTAACAATATTATGAGCTTATGAAATAAGTAAAAACTGTGTATTAAGGCTAAAATTATTAAAATTGTCTTTAAGTCAATCGTTTGCTATGGAAAGTGAAACCAGTGTTGAAATAATGAACTGGAAGAGTGTTTTTTGTGAATCAAATACTTCTATACAATGAATAGAGATTTGATTCTTTGAGCAG